GGGTCTAGATCTAGGAAATCCGAAATGTTACCGAAAACTCTTCGTTCCATGTGGGTATCCCAGGAAGTGATGACATCTCAGTACTAAAATTAGCTACCAATCAGAAAGTGAAAGATGCGTCTTCTACGTTTAACGGCATGTCTCGCTTTCCTTCGTCCTCACCCTTCGACTGCCACCGACTAATGTCTCTAACCGAATTTTTCTCTTTTCCCTTATGATTCCAACCCCAACCACCGCCCTTTTCACTCATGACTGATGTTTCTTCAGTCTCACTTCTTAACCTTCATTTCGCTCCAGGCCTTGTTTTTCTTTTGCCGTGTAGTCAGTCAGTGTGTGTAGAACTAGTTTACAGACCCGGTAACCTGGAACAAAGTCTCGAAGTATACACAGACCCCACAGGGGAAATCTTTTCTTGTGATTTCGGAAAGTTTCAGCACCCTCTTGGCTCAGGGTAGACCAAGGTTTTTCTAGATTTATGGCCCAGGTCTAGATCTCTAAACAGACATAAATTAAGGAAGTGGCTATCCTCACCCTGGGTGAGAATAAAAATAGGATCGACCTCTCACCGCGGGTGAGACTTGCCAGCGTTGGCTATTCTCACCTGACATGAAACAAGACCTAATTGAAAACACTGTACTCAACTGTAGGCCCAACTTCTTTCAAAAACACTGTAGAACTCAATTTATTTTCCGAATTCTTAGTTTTAAGATTCTGACAAACAGAAAAGGATCCTAGAATTGTTTTTAAAGAAACACCGTGGCGTCAGTGTTTGTCAGAGATCAGTTTGGAAAAAACCTGGATTGATGGAAAGGGGGACTTTACTTGAAGGTTTTAGACCAGTCTCAAATCTTTCATTTTCAGCCAAAATTCTGCAGAAGGTTTTCTAATATAGACTTTCGGCATAAAGGCAAATAGTCTGTGGCGTTTATTAGCATGATACAAGGCGGCCTTACTGAAGGCTTAAGATCCTTAGCGTACAGAAATTTTATGGCATTGATTTGATAAAAAGAGGTTTATCCTTACTCTCTTGAACCATTTGGCAGCATTCTGTTCCATTGATCATGACATTTTACTTGAGAGATAAATGTGGGTGGTTGGCGGGTGCTCTGGTGTGGTTTGCTTCTTCTTTCCTATCAAACATCTATCGTCTTTCTCCCCTCCTTTTTTTTGTTTGTTACTCTCTTGTAACACTTCTAAGCTTCAGCACTTATATGACCTTATTGTGTTGCAAGTGCCGTTTGAGCAATAAATTGAAGTTGAACGATGACAATAAGATGGAATGATTGTGGACTGAAAATTCAAAGGCAAAATTAGAAATCTTACAGAACTGCAAATTAACATAATAATCCCTCAATTCGTTACATTTAAAAAAGTCTTTTAAATCGAGATGTTCGATGTCCTCAAATTAGCCAACTGAGCTGAAGAGGTTCTAGATATTTCCAGTTAAAAAGAATTGGCAGTGTACGAAATTACTTAATTTTTAAAGAAACAATGCATTTGTCAGACTCTCATTGAAAACAGGAGAATAGGAAGACTAAACCACTTTCAAGAAGTTTTATATTCTTCTCTTTTTTGTTTCAGTTTTACGATTGTCCGGAGGCTTTGGTAGTCCTCTCAATGCCCTCCTTGGCCGCCAGTTTGCAGCTGTTGGTGTACCGGCCCGGAAGTCATGCTTTGTCAAGACTGAGGACACACTTCAGAAAAGTGCAAAGTATGAGTTACTAAGTGTTCATTAGTTTTTTTGCATGTAGTGAATCATTTTGTAGATTTTCTGATTGTGCTTTTATATGGGACTCAAATGTATCATGTAACTTTTGCCTTTTGACATGGGGATTCGCAAAGGAGAGGACCTACCCTGTTTAAGACTTTTTCTCAGCTGATGTTATGATTTGTTTAGAATGACTGAGTGGAAAGTGTTTCAGTCAGGATGAATTAAATGTAGGCTACATTTCAAAGACTTCCTTCTGTGCAGCACTCCTTCGGTTGAGCCATCTGTTTGCATACTTCATAGCATCACCTTTTTCTGTCCGTCCTTTTAACATGATGATGATATGATGACCGTATGCAGCTGCGAGCGCCGTAAAACTCTTATTAAAACATAACATGATGATGGATTTGTTGCAGTAAAACCTGTTGGCACTTACTGTGACTTACATTACCAAAAATTGAGTCGATAGTGCTGTAAAACACCTACTCTATCAATCAATCAATCAATCAATCAAGCATTTTTTTTCACGTGATTTTTTGCCATTTGGTTTAGATGGCTGGTCAGTCTCCAGCTGCTTCCTGTTTTGGGGTGATTGGGGTCCGCTGCACTGTCAGACAAGTTTGCAACCCTCCGGGGCGGTGCTACTGACGGAAGTATCTTTAGGCCATTCCCAAAGGGGGGATATTTCTCATTCTAATGCCCAGTAGAATTGTAAATGGGCTGATTCATCAATGTCACGCTCATAATGTCATAACTGTGTCTGAACTTCAACAGGGAACTGCTGCTTTTTCTTTCCTAATCCTTACTATCGTCATTTCCCTCTACTTCTCTTGTATGTTTGTCACACGCTTGTGACCTGCTATTTCCGGGGTGCCTTTTGATAGTCGAAGCAGACTGTGCTGTTGAAGCTAAAGAGTAGATAGAAAGAAGGAGGGAAAGGTGGAAAGAGAGCCTAGAACTAGAAGAGAGAAAGAAAGAGGGGGGGGGGGGAGGGGGAGGAAGGGAGAAAGAGAGAGATTAAGTGTAATCATAATAATAATAGATAGTATTTGTATAGCGCATGTCCCCACTCGAAAGCAAACTCTAGTCTATGCGCTTTGCACTATATTAGTGTAGATGTTGTGAAAAGTAATGTTATGGTTGCTCTTAATTTTCTTTCCCAGCACATCTCTGGTCCCATACCGGGAACAGAGCACAGGCCAGGAAGTAGCTCCTGCCCCAGAGAAAAAACCTTACTCCCCATTTCAAGTTCCTGTGAGTAACAAAGTGGACTATGCCTTGGCAAGGCTGGATGACCTTCTCAACTGGGGCAGGAAGGTAAACATTTCTGTACTCATAGATCAGAGAATATGGTCGCATTTCACACCTTGCTGCTTCATCTCGCCGATCGGCCATGTTTACCTCTCAGTTTGTGATGTTTACCTCTCAGTTTGTGATGTTTGCCTCTCAGTTTGTGATGTTTACCTCTCAGTTTGTGATGTTTACCTCTCAGTTTGTGATGTTTGCCTCTCAGTTTGTGATGTTTACCTCTCAGTTTGTGATGTTTACCTCTCAGTTTGTTTGGATTTTCCCCGAAATATGATGGCAAGGTGTTAAGGACAAGCGGGACTGGATCGATAACAAGGACAAGCGGGCTAACCCAGATTTCAGGTGTTTCCGAGAAATCTTGTCCTACACCAAGTAGACATTGCCCTACCCGTAGGAGAAGTTCGGTTGTAGTAGTGTGTAGGGCCTATATATTTGTTTGGTTTTAGAGAAAGCTCTTCTTGTGTTTTAAAGAAACTGAACGAGGGGCAAAAACTTTACCTTCGATTTTCTCAAAACAGCAGTTTTTGGGGATAGCTCCCTTGTGCTGTAAAGCTACCATATTATGATGAACTTTAAAGTTATTGGTAATAGCTCGGACGCTGCTGATGCGTTACGTTGTTATTTAGTGGAAAAATTCCCATATTCTATAGCAAGTGGGAAAAGTGATTTAATTACATTGAAAAAAAAATTGCAGGATAGCTTTTTTATTCTTCTAAGCCTCTGTCTTTCAGATCAATGATGTTGTGCAAAAATCACTCCTCTAGTAGCTAGCTTGCTTCCAAGTTCCTGCATTACTTAGGCCCTCTGTTTTATAGAGGAAAAAAAAAGTGACCCAAGACTTACTTTTCAATTTTGAATGAAATTTAGAAATAGTCAATAAGATTTTATTCAAGTCTTGTATTTTCATTTATTATATTTTATTACTTTTAAATGTATTTAACTGTAATTTGTAATGTGATCTTACAATGATATCTTCAATTGCATCTCTTACATTTTACTTTGAATGTGATAGAACTTTTGTTTTGGCTGGAGCAGGCCCTTGCTTGCGAATAATTCAGTTAAAGTCACACTTTCTTCTGTTCAGTGAGTAGTGTATTATTTAATACAGAGCCTGCTGTGAGCTGTTAGTCCATCCTCTATAGCCATGCATTTCTGCTGGGAAAAAAAGTGGGTTGTTAGTGGGTGCTCTGGTGTGGTTTTCTTCTTCTTTCTTATCGAACATCTATTGTCCTTATCTCCCGTCCTTCTTTTTTTATGTTTGTTACTCTCTTGTAACACCTCTAATCTTCTGGCGCTCGTATGACCTTATGCAGTTGCGAGCACCCTAAAAACTCTACTAAGAAAAAAAAAGAAAGAAAGGGGGGGGGGGGAGGTGTGATTTCACAATTTTATGTATTCAGTACTGAAGATGACCTCTTTTCTCAGAATTCTCTGTGGCCCCTTACCTTCGGTCTTGCTTGCTGTGCTGTGGAAATGATGCACTTCGCTGCCCCGCGCTACGACATGGACAGGTTTGGGGTGGTGTTTCGAGCCTCCCCACGACAAGCAGACGTCATCATCGTGGCGGGGACTTTGACCAATAAAATGGCACCTGCTCTGAGAAAGGTTTGTCCTCTTCTTTTGAGTAACTTTTGTTGTAATTTTTTTTGAAGCCCTTTGGCTCATGCGGAGAATTATGAGTTCAATTTCAGAGTGGGGAAGTTGTTGGGTTTTTTTTAATCGAGTGTGTTTGTCTTTCTGTTGGGATGCTGAATCTGGTGACCAATATGATATAGTACTTTGGTGCTGGGCATGAGATTCGTCCAGGTCTATTTGTTTTTTCTTTTTCTCTTTTTCTTGTGCTGATAAGTACAATTTCTTAGAAAAAAAGATGATACATTTTTAAAATAAGTTTTTGGGGTTTTTTTTGTATTTGCTTTTTGCATGACTGATACTGAAGTTGACTGCAGCTTACATTCATTTACACAGATTCTCTTTCCGTGAAAGCAAAGGCCACCGCAATTTTTCTCTTCTGATATTCAAATTAAATTCATACCTTTGTTTTTTAAATTGATTTCTATTATATCTGTATGAGTTCATCAAAAATTGGTTTGGATGTGTCCTGTTTGTACGAATTTACCTTCCTGGAAGTGCGACGACCCTATATATTGGGCCGACCTACTTTGACCGGAAAGTGTACAGGTTCTACATAAAGAGCACAGACTCTGACCTTTAATGAAAATTTTCAGCGCCCTTATATGGTAAATGGTGTAGATGGGGGCTCTCGTGGCCTAGAGATTAAGGTGTTCGCCTCTCATTCAAAGGTCCCGGGTTCAAATCTGTGCATCTCGCTGATTTTCCTTTGTACGTGCCAGACTAATTTAACTCAATGTTATTTATAATTGCCTGTGTTGTGTCGTTACTTGAAGGTCTACGATCAGATGCCGGAGCCACGGTGGGTGATCTCGATGGGCAGCTGTGCCAACGGAGGCGGCTACTACCATTACTCTTACTCTGTCGTGAGGGGCTGTGATAGAGTTATCCCTGTCGATATCTATGTACCGGGTAAGTTGTTTAGTACCAGGAATTTGGGAGAAGTTCTTTTGGTTGTTTTTTTTATCACATTACACCCTGAGGGTCTGGACGGGAAGTCCATTGTTACACCCTGAGGGTCTGGACGGGAAGTCCATTGTTAGATCCTAAGCAAGGGGAAAGAACCCACCTCCTGTGAATACAAGCCTTTAAAAAACACATTTAAAAAATACTAAACAAATTTTAAAAATCCTGAAAAAATAAAAGTTAAAAAGAAAACTGAATGTAGTTTCAGAAAAATATAACTTTATGTATGCGCAAATTGTTGGAAATGTTCTAACTTTAGTTCAATCGGGGTGTCCGACCCGTCACTCTCACTCTCAGCCTCGAGGTCGGGCCCTAGATCTAAATTCTAGATTTTCTACGTCTGATCAATTTGAATCGCCCCAAACTCTTGCTACAACGTTTTCATCAAAATCTGAGCCATCTGATTTGTCACATGCTTGTTTTCGCTTAAATCCATCGTTATTTCGAACTCAATTGTGTGGCTTTTCAACAAGTCGAGACACTTTCGAAGTGTCGGTAACGCGATCGCACTTCGATCAGCTCTAATACTAAAACTACTGGCCCGAAAAATTTCGTCTTAGTACCAAACGAAAGAAGAAACTTTGCTATGATTATGCAAATCAAAATCTCGGCCCCGGAGTCTCGTCAAGGCGAGACTTCGTTTCTAAAGACGCTGGGTCGGCGCGGGCGGTTCCGGGCAAGTCAGGGTGTAATGTGTTAATTGCTTTTTTGGGGCGTGGGAGGTTGGGTGGTCACTGGATTGGTGGTTATGTAATAATGATAAATAATAAATAGCGTTTGTATAGCGCATGTCCCCACTCGAAAGCACGCTCTATGCGCTTTACACTATATTACATAAATATACATTATACTATATTTAATATTACTATATTTCTATATTTACATAAATTATCTTGTATAGTATTGAGCAAATGCAGTACAAAAATTTCATGACATTATATTTATCTTCATAATTTGTGAAAAGGAAATGCTCAAATGTTTAGTTCTAGGTCACACACTGTTGATTTTTATTTGTATTCCTTTCCTATGAACATGTCAAATATAATAGCACTCAACGTAACCTTTACACCCTTAGCAAGGATCTACAGAAAAGCAAAGACTTTGAGTTAATTAGCTTTTGTTTGTGGCATGATTGTTCTGTTTCTGACAACCTTAGGAACGTTTTGCCTAATTTCCTTTTTTTGAAATTAATAGATCCGGAAACTTCATGGGAAAAGGGGTTGGACAGGACATGTAAATCGGATAGGCACACTCTTTTTTTCCTTTCTCTATTTGATCTATATTTATCTCTTTAAAATATCTACATGAAAATCTCTCCCTTTGCATCACTAAGTCCTGATAAAGTGAGACCTGTGTGACACTGGTGATATGTTACTCTCTTGTAACGCCTCTAATCTTCGGCACTTATATTTCCTATTTGTATTGCCAGTGCTGTATAACTCTCATTGTGGGTGGTTGGCGGATGCTCTGGTGTGGTTTTCTTCTTCTTTCAAATCAAACATCTATCGTCCTTATCTCCCCAAACTTTCATGAACATTAAAAGGTGAAATGTGACACATATGTTTATTTTTTCTGTGTCTGATTCCCCAGGTTGTCCCCCCACGGCAGAAGCCTTGCTGTACGGAGTATTGCAGCTGCAGAAAAAGGTCAAGCGCATGAGCACATTGCAGATGTGGTACAGGAAATAGGACAACAACAACCATCTTCTTTTGTTTCATGTTTTCTTGTGCACATGGGTTTTTAGAAATTTGACAAAAATTTTAAATTAAATATCAGGAGTCGCACCTCAACACTCTGTTTGTCAAAATTGTGCGGCTATGTGAAGAAATGAGGACATTTTCTTGAGAGTTTGTGGGAATTTATTCCGTCCTAACTAAAAAGATTTTAGCTGAAGATGAATACAGTTCTTGCGCTATGAGATTAATGCAATGTCAATTTGCTGTGTTTATTTCGAAATGGGGATGCCTCACGATAACTTGATCTTTTTATTTGGCTACTAAAAATTATTTCCAGCTGAAATAATTACTTGATGCTTTTCCGTTTTTTGTGAGACCAGGTGGAACTTGATATATGTTATTTTGAGATAGTGTTTATTGTTGATTTAATATTTAAGCAGTAGCTTACTGACAGTTCTGACAGGTAGTGACTTGAAAATGACCCGGCTACTTGTACAATGTGGTTTGTACAAAGTTTCTTATGAATATTAAAACTGAAAAAACTTGAATGGATCTTTGTTGTTGCTTTTTTTTTTTTTTTTAAATAGCCACTTGCAACTTCATGGTTTGTGTTGTTTTACTTGTTAACGGGAGTGAGTTGGCGGGTGCTCTGGTGTGTTTGCTTCTTCTTTCCTATCAAACGTCTATCATCCTTATCTTTCCTCCTTCTTTTTGTGTTTGTTACTCTCTTTTAACACCTTTAATCTTCTGCAATTATATGACCTTATTGTGTTGCAAGTGCCGTAAAGCACTTACTAAAACTAAACATCTAGATCTATTGTCCTTATCTCTCCTGCTTTTCTGTAGCCTATGTGACTCTCTAGCAACACCTCTAATCTTCGGCGCTTATACAACCTATTTGTGTTGCATGTACCTCGAAACTCCTGCTAAAAGTAAAATAAGTTACCGCGTTTTTATAAATTAAGATCGTAAAGTTGACTCCGCTAGTGTTGAATTCGCTTGAGTTGATCTACGAAAAAGCTTCAAAACAAAGTGGGTGGTTGGCGTGTGCTCTGATGTGGTTTGCTCCTTCTTTCCTATCTATCATCTGTCATCCTCTTCTCCCCTCCTTTTTTTTTGTATGTTACACTCTTGTAACACCTCTAATCTTCGGCACTTATATGACCTTATTGTGTCGCAAGTGCCGTGAAACTCTTACTAAAACTAAATTCAAAACAACAGACAGACAAGTGCCCCGTGCCTAAATTCATCCAGCTCTTGGGGGGACAGCTGAGTGAGTAGTGGGTCAGTGAGCAGAGCGTGAGTCATGCAGCCTCCAGCTCATTGTCCTCAACCAAAGACATGGTCAACAAACCCAACACCCCCCCCCCCCCCCCCCCCCCCC